CATCGGGGATGTAGCTCAGATGGTAGAGCGCTCGCTTTGCATGTGAGAGGTAGAGGGATCGATGCCCTCCATCTCCAAATCTTTTTTTTTCACTTTTCTTTCCAATTATTTTGCTTTGAAAATATGGAATTTCTCAATCTAAAGCAATTGAATGTTTGAAATAAATTTATTTTCCATTCGCAAAAAATAAAATGAATGAAATATCATCAAAATGTTGAACACTTTAGAGAAAATATTCGAATAAAACGAATGTGAAGCAAAAAAAAAAGATTTGGAGATGCCGAGCATTGATCTCGGTACCTCTCACATGCTAAGCGAGCGCTCTACCATTTGAGCTACATCCCCGTTATATGAAGCGGCAGTAATTGCGCATTTCTGCAATTTGCACAAACGAAAACTGATCGACGTTGACATAACATTGCGAATCCATTCGAAGTGTGTGATTTTCACATTGTGAACTAAGCAAATTCACTTTGAATTTTGTTTGTCAACAAAAATATCGCAAAGAAAACATTTGATGCATTGAGTTTGCACGACTCATAAACAAATCAATTCCATTCTTTTTTTAAATTTATATCAAAATTAAATTTATTCAATTCTTCTCCAAACATTTGTCATCAGAAAAATTAAAAATGCTGCACGGTGCGTTGTTCCAGTTTCACGTCGTTATACAACGCATACGAGTGTTGTGTTGAGTGGATTTCGTTTAGTGTGAAAGTCGTTCAAACGCATGTGAAATCCAGTTTCTACACACCGTACACACAAACACACCAAATCCAATCAACTTTCAACATTTTTATCAGCATAATTTACATATTCTGTGCATTCGGTGAATGTTGAGCTCAGCACACAATTTATATAGTTCGTATGAAATATTTGTGTTTTTTTGTTTGTTTGAAAAGTTTCAACATGAAGTATTTCTGTTCATTCAATTTAATTAGAATGAAGCATATGCATTCATTCGTATGGATAAAACTGTTTATAAGCAAATATGCGGACAGAATTCAATATATAATTTGCTTTTGAGCTCGAAATAAATTCTGATTGCTATTGAAATTCGACTTTTTGAATTGTAAATTGCTCAGGAGAGTCTCGCATCTACGTGCAAATTATCGGAGCAATTTTGAGGTATAATAAATCGACAAAAGGCTTTTGGATGTTGATGGTGATGTTCAAAAATTATTTTTTTTTCGCAAATCATTTGTGATGACGTAACTACTTTGAACTTAATGTGTCTTGTGTTGTAATTACGCGTTGTTGGCGCAGCAAGTAATTGTCGACAAAAATCGAAGAGTCGAACGCGGAATAAAAGGTGAAGAGAATAATTCGAGTGCGAAAGATCATTAATAATGAATGATCGTTGCCGCCATCTAAGTAGCGACACGCGGATAGAATGGTTGATGGTGATGAGGAGGATATAATCCAAAGTCAGCTAAAACGTACTTCAATAGGAACAATGAGTTGCAATTTTTTTCCCTATGATTTTTGTTTACAATAAACGCACACAGGAAGTCTTGTCTCCTACTTCTGTCTTTCTTAAGTGTTCTTTTATTTGTTTGTGGTTTCATTTTCGGTTTCACTTAAGTTGCTAACAAATTCACTGTCAATTTTCATTCAATCGAATCGACATTAAATGCTTGCCGCTATTTGTTTCACCTTTCGCATCGAATCGGTAATTTGGAGCGTTAAAATTTTGTAAGTGACCTTAAATGGACGTGATCGACAAACGTTTCGTTATACATTCAAACATGCGATGTTGGTTTCATGGTCAAACACAGTGATTGAAGTATGTTTGAGAAAAATGTCCAAACTAATTAAGTTGCCCATTATTATCTAGACACTTAATTGACAATTGGCCATCGATTTTGCGTAGAAATCCATTTTAAATTGCCTCGTTTTAAATTTTGTGTATGTTTTTTTCTTGTCCACAGATATTCAGCTCAAAGGCCGATCTTCAGCTGCACACACAGATTCATATGCGCGAAGCCAAGCCGTACAAGTGTACACAGTGCTCGAAGGCGTTTGCCAATTCCAGCTATTTGTCGCAGCATACGCGCATCCATTTGGGCATAAAACCGTATCGTTGCGAGATTTGCCAGCGAAAATTCACGCAATTATCACATTTGCAGCAACACATTCGCACCCATACCGGTGATAAACCGTACAAGTGTCGTCACACCGGATGTCAAAAGGCATTTTCGCAATTGTCCAATTTGCAATCGCATTCGCGATGCCATCAAACCGATAAGCCGTTCAAATGTAATTCGTGCTACAAGTGTTTCAGCGACGAACCATCCCTACTCGAGCACATTCCAAAGCACAAGGATTCCAAACACTTGAAGACACACATCTGCCAATACTGTGGCAAATCGTATACACAGGAAACGTATCTAACGAAGCATATGCAAAAGCATGCCGAACGCACGGACAAACGGCCGCCAATATCGGAGATTCAAACAACCACCACGACAAACACAACAACCAGCTCGAACAGTGGCAATCGCAATAACAATGCAAACAATTTGAATTTGAATAACAATCCGTTGCCAAGCGTTGCCGAGAATTCGTATTGGCCCAAGGTGAGTCCAGATTCGGCGGCCAGTTTGACAGACGTAATGCAACAGCAACAGCAGCAGCAGCAACAACAACAGCAACAGCAACAACAGCAGCAACAAACCCAGAATCAACTACAGGCTCAACAGCAAGCCCAATCACATGAATACGGTGGCATGACGAGCGGTCATCCATCGAACGATTTGCAAGCGCATCATCGTTTGATCGACAGCCATCGTGACGATGTTGGTGAAGATTTGGTGGTGAGCCGTCATTTGCAGCAACAACAACCGCCATCATCATCGGCCACACCCGGACCGTACGATACGAAAACCAGCACCAATTCAGCATTCACACCGATTAATTCGATGGCACCGCATCTAAATTCAATCGGCCATCATCCGATGGCACAGCGACCGTATCTCTATGATGCGATCAGTTTTCCAAACAAAAACGTTAACCAAAACACAAACTCGTTTCCGAATCAATTGATCTCATTGCATCAAATTCGAAACTATGCACATCAACCGAGCGGTTTGATGTCCGGCGAACATCTATTGGGCGTTAGTGTTGGTGCGGGCAAAGACAAAGGATAACTGTATTTCTAGAAATGGAATCACCTAAATTGCCACCACGATTCCATTCCACAAGCACACACTGAACAATGTTGCACACACACACACACGATTCGCTAGGCACAGAGACGGAAAGAGAGAGAGAGAGAGAGAGAGAGAGAGAGAGAGAGCGAGAGAGAAATACAGTGAAAGTAGACATATTAGCGAACAGAATTAGGTTTTTTTTCTTTTCCCCGGCCGGCATAAGGCATTACACATTTTCCGATATTATTATATATTATAAACTGCTATTATTATTACGATTAGTTTTCCTTTTTTTCAATAACAATCTGTGTCACATAATCACTATCTATACATATACATTTTGTTTTGTTTAGATTTAATTTTCTTCTTTGTTCTTTGTTGCGGGTTTGAAAAAAAAAGCAAACAATTCCTTTGATTTGTATATTTTTGATTTTGTGAGCTTGAGCAAATGTTTTAAATGAATTTCGTCCATATTTTTTTGGCTATTAGTTAGAAATTTTCCTTTTGTTCGTTCGTTTGTTTCGTTGGCAATAATAAGTAAACAACTCGTGTATTTTCTTTGATTTAATCATTCGAATTTGCAATGTAAATGTTTTGATTTACGGAGTTGAGTTGTACGGTTTAATTTTTTGTTTGTTCCTTGTAAATATTGATTTGTTTTCGGTGATCCAAAATGCAATTAGATTGATTTGAGCCACTTTGTTCTGGGCTGTTTGCAAGTTCAGTGGCAAACTGGGTCACATTTTAACGAGACGCATTCAAAACCGGCAAAGAAAAAAAACACACACAGGAGAATGACGAGATAAATGCAATTTATCGTGCATCAATATCGAAACTATCTAACATAAAGATTATATAACTTTTGAAATGGATAACATATTGAAACGGGATTGAAACCACGTAACCGATACGGATTCTGGCTTTCGTTTTCGATTTTTTTTTGCGAATACAGAAGAGAAGAAGAGAAAAAAACACAAACAATTTGATTCAAACTATACACGTAGCGGATAAATAAAAAAATAAACTAGATTTTAAAAACTGTTTTTTTGGATAGAAAGAAAAATTACTTGCAATGAAAAGAGATAAAGAGATAACAACCATAAAAATGAAGTTATTTGTAGAATTCGTTTCCTTTGAGAAAATTAACATAAAAACAAAGTACTATTTTGATGGAAGAGAAAAGCATGCTGAAGAAGAAAAATGAAACAGCAAGACGGTGACGATCCACATTTTCTGCAACGCAGCATAAATATTAATGAAAATGATTCAAACTACTTTAAAACGTAGATGCTAAATAAAAATTAACGAACAGAGTAGAACGGGATGAAGAGTGGGAGCAAGAGAGCGAGATAGAGAGAGAGAGCAGAGGGAAGACAGAGAGTGAATAAATACAATTAAAAAATCTAAAGAGAACGTCAAATTAAAATTGCATTCAAAAAGCGAAAATCTGAAATACACAAGTGAGAGCACATTGGAAAGCATCAGTGCTCACATATTCGGAAAACAAATTTTTAAAAAGCAATTCTCGCGGTAAATAGAAAGGAAAAAAAGAAAAAAAAGCTGCACAACGATAGAGAAATGGCAGAGATGAGATAGAAAGACAGAGACATGCAGAACGTTAAAAAAAGAACAGGAGAAAGGATGCGAATAAAAAGGGATAGGAATGGAAAAAGACGCGCTCGTTACTTCTAATCGGATTAAATTGGAAAAAGAGGCTCGCACGAGGCGATGGCATAGTGTCTGTGTGGATGCAATTTACATGCAACACTGAATCATCTCAATGGTAGTACACATAGACATGTCCAAACAAAACTGCGCGCATTTGCCCATACACATATACAAACTTTCTCTCGTCCAGCGACACGAACACACACACTCGCGCGGAGAGAAAGGCACGCAATGGACAGTGCGAGAATGCTAAAAATGTACAATTTATTAGCAACGGCGAAATTGAATTTTCCCCCGAAGGATATTTAAATGTTATAATCAAAAAGTTTGCGTCGCTCTTATTTTGTTCCCTTTTTTTCTACCAGTTTCGTTTCATTTTGGAGCTCTATTCTCATTCTTCTTAATTTTCAGTTAATTCTTTTCAGTGTTTTTTTATTCACTCACTCAAATTGAGTTTTCAATTCAATTTTTTCTCGCATCGAAACGCGGAGAAAAAGAAAGAAAGAAAAAAATGAGAAGAAAAATGAAAACTTTTCTGTTTCATTCATGTTCCACAACAGTTCAAAGACACACTCATACACACTCAACATACAAAACAGTTTTGTTTTTTGTCTCACTGCTCCTTGTACCAACATGTTTTAACACACACACACACACACACTCAAGCCAGACACGACAAGAGCCGACAAAATACAACTGCAATAGACAGACAGAAATAGCGAAAAAAACAACAACAACAACAATATTTGTTCCGTTTTTTATTTGCCCATCCATTGATTATAAATAAAAACCGTTAAATTGACAATAGGCACCCAAATGATACAAAATAGCAAATACATATTACAATAGTGAACCGAATAAGAAACAGAAGGAAATAGTTAAAGTTTTTTTTTGCAATTCCATAACTAAGAGCACATCTGTGATACAAACTAAATGAATTTTCAACAATACAAAACCGAAAACAGAGAAAAACAATAGAAAAAGAAATATCGAAACACTACTACAAAACTACAAATCCAAAACCAATAGACCAATAGTATCAAATCAATAGTTAAAAGTGAACGAGATAGAAAGAGATAGAAAGAGATAAAGAGAGTGAAAAAATGAAGAAAACCATGGAAAATTTTTGTTTGCAATATCAATCGTTCGTTGTTGGTGAATTGAGTTGATTTTTTGTTTTCAATACATACACATACACACATGCTCATAAGCTTTCAGTTTTTCCGTGTCCTATCAGATAAACGATGACCAATTAATTAATGTTTTTAACGGCAAATGAAGAAAAACCATCGCAAAATCCAAAATCCACCATCAAAATTCGAAATGATTGCGTCTTTGAGATTGAACACTTGAAACAAAACAAAGCAAAAACAAATAATGACATTTTCGCTGCTATGCAATATGTTTTTGGATGAAAGTAATTGAAATTATTTTCGAACAAGAGAAACGAAATGGAAAACAAGGAATACGATGAAGAAGGAAGAAAAGTAACAAAAAAAACACCCAATTTAATTGGCATCTTACTTCAGTAGAACTGATCTATTTGCATACCAATAAAAAGAAGAGAAAAACCAAACTAAATATTGAAATATACGTTTTATAACTACTCAATTTAAAAGAAAGCAGAATTTAAAAATAAAAGCGAAACAAATACACACACACACACACACTTTTACTTAATCAAGGAAATTTAAAAGACAGAAAAAAAATATTAATAAAATATTAATAACAAAAAAAAAGTAATGGCAGGCATTTTGTCGTTTTCAGATTTACGTAGATTTATACCGTAAGTGTAAGAGAGAGAAAAACAAGAAAACAACAAAGAGTTGATGATTTTAGCACATGCAGAAATTTGAATTAATAGCGCACACGTTAGAAAAAAAAAACAGAAGAACAAAAAAAATTTAAATTACATTTAGAATGAACACACACACACACACAGATTCTCATTACGCAACTAATAAAGAAAAGGAAATTTAAAAAAAAACCAGTTGAATTTTATTGTTCGGAACGGAAGATTTGTTTCGATACGAAATGAATGTTGTTTGGTTTCGATGCGACGTTTAGACAAACGAGATTTTGAAAATGAAGAGAAAATTCCACGTCGATTTTTTTTTTGAAAATGTTGGACCGTTTTTCCCCCTTCATTTCGATTTAATCGATTTTTAGACTCTTTGGATGTATAAAAGAAGGTTGAACTGTTTTTTTCGGCATGGACAAATACGTGGAATAAAGAAACAAAATTAGCCAAATTAACAAGTAATTTAAAAAAAAGAAGTGAAAATCAATTTATGGTGCAAATTTTAAAACATAGAAAATTTTGAATGAAATAAATTTCGTTATACCAGAAGCAAAAATGGACAACACCAAAAATGGGTGTTGATGATGGGATAGAATCTTTAATAAAATTGCCACTAATTAATGCGGACAAAATATGTGTGAGAGAAAGAGAAAAAAGAGAATAATTCAAATGTTTGCTGTAAAATTATTACATCTAAAGACCGAAAAAAACACACACAATGAGAATGAAAAATTCACGCACACACAAAGGTATGGATGTTTTGTGTGTGTGTGTTTTAATCAGTCCATTCAAAATAAGTATGATTGTAGCATATTATTGTCATACGATTATTTCGAATTTTTCCAGAAATTTACAATAACCAACAACTCACACCCCGCCCCAAACCCTCTCCACACCGACACACATTCATACAAATCACACCGACGAGATTCTATTCGCCCGAACAGAAAAGCTAAAATATCATATTTAAATGCATGAACGAAAAAAAACTCTATTTTAATTAATCATTCTATGAATTACAAGTATTTAAAACAAAAAAACCAGAGGAATTCCAATTAAATGGACTAATTGTCTATAAATAAAATGCAAAAAAATTCAACCTAAAAAATTGTTTAAAACCAAGAGAGAGAAAAACCAAAATCCAGACAAAAAAAACAGACAAATACTTCAGGCAGAGACAATTAACAAAAATTTTATGGTATAACCATAGACTCACACAAACACACATGTTCATTCACATTAAATTAACTAAAATCAATATCAATGTCATAAACAGAGTAAGATAAAACGCAGCATTAATTCCCAATGAAATTGGATATATCGAAGCGAATCCGTTATGCACATTGCGAGATTCAATTCGATGCAAAAAAAAAAAATCAGATTTCACTAAAAAATTATGTGTAATAAAATATAAGAATTTAAGTAATATTAATCGTAATTTAATCATAATAACAATTTAAAAAAAAGGTAACAAAAAAATAAAAATAAACATAAAATCCAATTAACATGCTACATCAGAAGAAGAAAAAAAAGGAGGAAAAACAACAACAAACACTATTTCAGAGACACAAATGAAAATTATACAAATAAAATGCATAACGATTACTAAGTGTACACACTGAACGCATTTTCATTTCGATTACTTTGATTATTTTATGTGCAATTTGCGCTCGCATTACTACGTTCAATGCATCTCTGAATGTGGTGCGCCTTATGTGCCATTACCTACCGTATGTATAGCTTTGTTCTGGGCTTTAATGTGCTGTGGACCAAGTCAGTGTGGATTGTGTAAGCCACGCGATGATTCGGTAGAATGTCCGTAGATGGCGTTTACGATGCTTCCATCAAAGCTCACGGTAAAGTTCAGCCACTTTCACGAATCACCAAGTTTGGTTTGAGGCCCCAATGAAACTGGGTAATGTGTCACTACGGATATTGCGTTGATAAGAAATTGCAACTCGAAAATGACATTTGCTTGTCAAAATAACAAAAATATTAAGAAACCCAATGACAACGAAGCCCATCGACTAAAGTTCAACGAAGGAAAAAAAACAAACTAATTAATCGCAAATGTTCAGAATTTTCACGGTGCCTGTGCAGAAATTTGTTCCCTCGTTGTGTTGTTTTGTCACATTTAAATGGAAAGAATAAGACGATTTGGCGGATTTTAATACGAAAATAGTTAGATTTTTTGCAGCTAGTCAACAATGTTGAAGTGTTTACGCTTGCATCAAACAAAGAGTACAAATGTATTCCCATCGATTCGATACAAGGCATTTCGCTATCGTAGTAGCCGACCGCATCATTCAGCCACACTTTTTACACGAAATGCACAAAAGGTGGGACCGATAGTTTTAACTGCGCAACGATGTGTTCATGCGGCCGGTATCTCGTTGCAGCAATCAGCTATGGCACAGGAACACAGCAAATATGAATCGAATGCACTTCCAAAGAGTACTCGTGTTGTGATTTGCGGCGGTGGAGTCATGGGCGGTAAGCAATGATTTCACAATAAACAATTCGATTTATTTTACACATTTTTTGCGTTGTATTTATATTTGGCATTTTTCCATGACTCGTGTAGCTGCTGTCGCCTATCATCTCGCTTTGCAAGGTTTTGGACATGAAGTCGTGCTGTTGGAACAAGATCGGTTCGTTTTAAATTATTCTGTGCATTTTTTTCATATGATTCGGAAATTAATCGTCCGCATGTTCATTTGCTCGTTTTGCAGAATTGGCGGCGGTATGACATGGAACTCAAGCGGTTTGGTCGGAGCGTTTAAGCCAACTTATTCTCAGGTTTTATTGGCTCAACAAACAATCAAACTGTTCGAAGACTTAACGGCTAAAGGATTCAAGACTGGCTGGAAGCAATGCGGTTCACTGAATTTAGCACGCACACGCGATCGATTGACGCAATTCCGACGAATGAAAGCGTTGAGCTCGTATGTTTCAGTTATTTTCCGTTGTTTTTTTCGACGTTTCTTTCCATCCGATTTTTTTTTTAGAATTTAAATTTTCTCCATTTCATTCATCAAAACAAGAAATACTGCAATTCATTTCTCTATCAAAACAGATTGTGGGACATTGAATGTGAGATTCTGACGCCAACGCAATGTGCTGAAAAGTGCTCGATCATTGAAACTAGTGATTTACTTGGCGGAATCTGGATTCCAAAGGATGGTGTAGCACATCCAAAGTATATTTGTGACACATTAATCAGCGAAGCAAGTCGAATGGGTGTGACGGTGATTGAAAAATGCACCGTGAACGAAGTAGCACAGAAACATGATTATGTTAGTGCAGTGCGAACGAACTATGGCCGAATATATTGCGAGTACTTTGTGAATTGTGCTGGATTTTGGGCTCGATCGATTGGTGAAATGTCAGAACCAACGGTGAAAATACCTCTACAACCAGCCGAACACTACTTTCTTCATACGAAGCCCATTAAAAATTTGGACCCTATGCTGCCAGTTGTGCGAGATCTAGATGGCCTAATCTATATTCGTGAGGTTGATGGCCGCATTTTGGCCGGGGGCTTTGATGAAAGAACTAAGCCCGCCTTTCGAAATGTTACAATACCATGTGAGTTCTTTTTTCAATGAACTTGTGTGTTGACTTCTGATTAGATTCAAATTAAATGCGAATAATCGATTTTGAATGTTCATTTCAATTGCTACAGTGGAAGCAAACCAACGAGAACTGGATGTGGACTGGGATCAATTCTATCCGTTGCTTCAAGAGATTTTAAAACGCGTTCCTCAACTGAACGAAACGTTCTTGGAAAGCTTGATAAATACACCAGAAGCCTTTTCGCCGGATTGCAAATGGATTCTGGGCGAAGCACCTGAGGTTTGTCATCAAGTCATAAAACATTCGATTGTTTTCCCAAAAAAAAATACAAATAATTTTTTTCTTTTTCTATAATTTTCTTCTGTTCAGATCCGAAATTACTTAGTGGCAGCTGGTATGAAAACGGTTGGAATCTCTGCGGCCGGCGGTGCTGGCAAAGCGATTGCTGATATTATCGCTCAAGGCTATTCAAAATTTGACATTTACGAATTGGATATATCCCGATTTTTGAGCATTCACAACAATGCTAAATTCTTACGAGATCGTGTTGCCGAAGTGCCGGCAATGCATTACAACATACCGTATCCATTTCATGAGTTCAAAACTGGCCGAAATTTGCGCATGTCGCCCATTTATCCAGTATTGAAATCTCGTGGAGCGATTTTCGGTTCAACAATGTGCTACGAACGTCCAAACTACTTTGATCCAAACGGAAGATATAATTCAAAAGACGATATTGTCGCGACGGAAGATTCATTCATTGCCAGCGACACAAACACATATTCAAAGCCACATTGGTTTGATATTGTGGCTGGTGAGTATGATGCATGCCGTGAAAAAGTTGGCCTTGCGGACTATAGCTCGTTTACAAAAATGGATCTATGGTCAAAGGGCGATGAAGTTGTAAAACTGTTGCAGTATCTCTGTAAGTAGAAAAAATCGTTTTTTTTCATAGAAAAATTCACTTAAAAACTCTTTTTTGACAGGTTCAAATGATGTTGACGTGCCGGTCGGATCAATCATACACACTGGCATGCAGAACGTTCACGGCGGCTATGAAAATGACTGTTCATTCGCTCGCCTGTCTGAAAATCATTACATGATGATTGCACCAACGATTCAACAGACACGATGCAAAACATGGATCGCACGTCACCTGCCAAAAGATAACAGTGTCAATTTGTCGGATGTTACTTCCACCTATACAGCCATGTGTATTCTCGGGCCGTTCACTCGAATTCTACTGTCCGAATTAACCGACACCGATTTATCAGCCAAAAGTTTTCCATTTTTTACATTCAAAGAGCTTGATATTGGGTCGGTAAATGGAATTCGTACGATGAATTTAACACACACCGGTGAACTTGGCTACGTTTTGTATATACCAAATGAGTTTGCGTTGCATGTGTATTCGAGATTGTGGGAAGCTGGCCAAAAGTATGGGATTAAACATGTTGGTCACTACGCGACGCGAACGTTAAGGATCGAAAAGTTCTACGCATACTGGGGTCAGGACTTGGATACGTTTACAACCCCGTTGGAGTGTGGGCGGAGCTGGCGTGTCAAATTCAATGTAAGAATCTTGTGTACTTTGTCAAAGTGAAGTGGATTGATCGAATGAAATTCGAATGTTAAATTACAGAAAGGTGTTGATTTCATTGGCAAAGATGCGTTGCTGCAGCAGCGTGATGAGGGCGTCCATCGACTCTATGTGCAGCTGCTGTTGAACGACCATGATCCAGATATTGATCCATGGTGCTGGGGCGGAGAACCAATTCTAAGAGATGGCATTTACTGTGGTCAAACCACAACAACCGGTTATGGTTATACATTCAAGAAGCCCGTTTGTTTAGGCTTCGTGAAGAAGATTGATGGAGACGGCCGAGAGGATCCAGTAACTAATGAATATGTACTTAGCGGTGACTATGAAGTCGAAATCGCCGGCGTTAGGTAAATACAAGACAGGAAAAAAAGAACAGACATCGAAATCACCATTTATGATTGATTGATTAATGTGCCGTTGTTTCGTCTCTTTCCTCCTCTCTCGTTCTCTCTCTCTCTCTCTCTCTCTCTCTCTCTTTTTCTCTCTTCCACAGATATCCGGCAAAAGTTCACTTACACTCGCCAAATCTTCCCACGAAATACCCAGATAAAGTAATTTTTCTTAAATATTTTCTATTTCCAATAAGATTTTAAATAATTTTGTTTGTTTTTGTTGCAGGAGCGAGCAGCGTATTCAGCAACTCGTGATGATCCAGTCAATTTAACTAAATTAAAACCTCATCTCGCTTAATCGTGATTTTACCTTTTAGTCGTAGCTTATACACATCACAATCGCTCAAAATCTAGAATTTTTCAAAAATGTACTTGTTTTTGTGTTGATTTGTTCAAATCTGTTGTCTACCTTAATAAACGAACACTCGTGATCGGAACGAATCAAAACGTTCAAAGTGCAATGAAAAACCAAACTGTCGTGCAATTCTCTCCAAATTCGAAATATAAAGAAATCTCAGACGATGATAATTCAAAGGCTCTTCTTTTTATTTCCATAGGCTTTTACATTTTTGATATCGTTTTATTGTGAAAGGTTTAGACCAAAAAAAAAAACGAAAAAAAATGTGTCGCTGAGCATAAAAATGGGAATACAGATCTGTTACAGCAACAACCGAACATATAATATTGTTCCCTAAAAACGTTACATGAATGTCCATCTAACGCGAGTGTAACATGAGTTGCATTAGAAACAGTATTAGCTCATGTTACACTCGCGTTGGATAGAAATTCATGTAACGTTTTTAGGGAACAATATTTTATGTTCGGTTGTTGCTGTAACAGATCTGTATTCCCATTTTTATGCTCAGCGACACAAATGTATGATTTTGTTGTGCAAAATAAAATGTGCCGTTCATGATTTGGAAGGCGATAACAAGAAATGATAAATTGTTTCTTTTTCCTATTCCCTTACATTGGTGAAGGAAAAGACTGAGTGAGTGTACAGTACAGGCAAGCGATTGAGCGTGTATTTACAGGATTATATTCACCTGCTGCTGTTGCTGTGACACAGAGTACGATCTACGCTTTTGCCAAACAAATGTATGTCAATCGTGCAATTTATTTGGATTGGTGTGAAATGCTCATCAATCAGGTGAAATCAAAACAGATTTTTCTCGCTTGTTGAAAAGCGACAAAAGCCTTTCAACACCAAACCACATAAGCGTGATGAATGATTGCCGCCATTTATTATTCATACTGGCTTACGAGTGCTGCCGAATGTATAATGTATATACAATGTATATTATACATCAATTTTAACTTGGTTTAGTATGTTGTTTGCTTCTTTTTCTCCCTGTATCTCTCGCCCATAACTCTCAACAATCATTTGACACTTTCAAAACAATGTGAAATAAATGGTTGCAATTTATCGTTGTTTGTGACATCCTTATGAAATTAAGCAATGTGATAACAAAGATCCCATTTTTATTGGAATGAATCAAACCACTTTCTGGTGCCCGATGACCAAAAACTGACAATATATCACATATTATTAACTTATGACTTTCTCATTTTGAATAGTATACCTTGATTTGTCTTGCTTTCAATCGCTCCAATTTCATGCTCGCCTTCAATTTCTAACGAATGTGGAATCGATGAGAAAAAATGGGAGAAACGAAAATTACGTTATCACATGGCAAAATATACAAGAGCATCCGTTCATTATGGATGCTACGTGATGTCACTTCGATTTGACTTTGATAATTTGATTATAGGTACTGCCAAACATTTTCACAGCGTACGCTGAACATCATGCTGTCGATTTGAATCAAAAAAACGCCTTCAGCGAACCGAGTTACGCCGCTGAAAAGTTACACAAAAAAGACCAAGACGACGACAAGCGTGCCTCCCCTATAAAATCGAATTAAGCTAATAATAATGAAATCAATTCTAATAAAATTCACACAGCGCCATACTGTTTGCATGGTAACTCGTCGAAGGAGTCGCTTTGGCGTCGACACACCTTCGTATAAAACAAACACGTGGAATCAAAGTAATAAAAATCAAACTGTCTTTAGCAAAAGCAAATAATTACTGAATGTCAGCGGCAACGATGCGAGAGATGGGGCAGTAGCAGCCAGCTGTGTGCGATGGCATGCATGCGAACGTGGGCAACGGAAATTCGGTTATTTGTTCGAAACAGGAAAAAAAGCACACGTTCTCAAGCTCAAACGATTCAGACAACAATTTAACTAACGACATTAAACTTTTACAGCAGCTTAGTAACAGAGATACATCCGCCAGAAAAACACAAATACTTTGAAAACTTTTTTGTAGCAAGTTTCTTTGGTTTTCGATATTATTTTTCTTTGAATCGCTTCAATGTAGTAAAGTATACAATTTGAAAACTTTTGTCAATATGCTGATTGAGTTAGCGAGAAAAAATACAGACTAGATTAATACATAGACCAGCAGAAGAAAATATTCTGTCGTAGCATACCATCCACGTGCTACATTTCTGTACAGACACTTGATCGAAATGTCAGTTTGCGTTGTTTTCTTTAATGGCACTTCAGTAAAAAAAAAATACCCTCAGCTGATGTTGATTGAGTTGGCGTTGATATATATGTTTGTGCATCAATTTGAAACGCATGCTTATATTTTATATATATAAATGGTTGTGCTACCTATGTGGTTTGTAAACAATATTCATAACCTAATATGTGAAACGAATGACACGCTGTCAGGACGTATAGAATGCGCTGCCGGTTGATGTGTCTGATTGAAATTGATTGCTGTTTCATCGTATATTTCAAGCGTAAATTCAGAGCTTTGAGTGAACACTGAACAGTCAGCGAGTGAATTTGAATGAATTTTGCAAGTGCGCTTTTTCAAGTTCATATTGATCGAATAGTAACTGTTGATGTATTTTTACACACTTCTCTTGGTTGCTGGTCGTTTTCATCTCATTCCATGATTGGTCAAAATGAAATTACATTTAATGGAAGGGGAACAAAATTTATAGCCTGCAGCCAACTTAACGATTTATATCGTTTTCAAATTGCATGTAAAAGATGTTAAATTTCTTGGTTTAAGCTGATCAGCTGTTCTTCGAAGAAAAAGACAAAAAATCGAAAATAATTCTTGTTTTTGATTTTAACTTTCGATTCAGTTGAAATCGTTGCAAAGTGCACTTTTATCATCGACGCGAAATGTTTCTGTGTTTTTGTGAGAGCTTGAATATATCTGTTCACACTGTCGTTTTTGTATAATTTATGACCATTAGTAGCGATCAACTACAACTGTCAGTAGATGTTCTTTTTTCAATGGGTGTTTCTCAACTTCAGCTCAAATTTTGACGATTTCGTTTAGTTTTGTTTCAAGTTTGCGATGGATCAATGGTTTTAACATTTAGTTCGCATTAACAAAGCTTCTCGAACGAAAGACGGTATGAACAAAAGTCCATACCATTCACCGTTGCTTCAAATTCGAACATTTTAAGCTAAGGTTTAGTACTACAGTAGGACCACAGAAATTGATGAAAGATTTATGGGTGGTCATGTGACTTTATTATTTTTGAATGGAATCTTCGGCCACTGCATTATCGTATCCTCTGTATAAGCTGGTTCAAAATCCACAGCGTCAGAAAAAAACTTTTCGAAGAATTGTGAGAATCACTGGCAAATATTATAAAGAAACAACACTTAAAAGTCTTCAAACGATTACTTATCTAATCAATTGTGTACTATGCTATTGCATAAACAGAAAAAATTGAATCGAATTTCTTGTCATCGTATGCTTGGGTATGTGTGTGTAACTGTCACGTGTTTTAGTAAACACAAATTGTGTCTCATCCGTTATTCAATAAAATGTTATCACAGGTACGAGTCGCTAGGTGGCGCTGGTTGTGCACAATGTCTTAGCTGTTATATTGTGAATAAAATAAACACTAAACACATGACAAGACAATTTTTTATTGATATAATTAATGACTTTAGATTGATTTTAAAGTGGTTGAATCATATCTGTTTCAACACACATATGAATTCTTCTAACTTGATTCGTATTTTGTGTTGAAACAGCTGCGCAATAATAATATAGACAATATATGTTCTGAACCAATCTACATCAAGACTGACTGAAAAGATTGTCTACAATCAGTTCACAAGCGTGTTTCAAACGAATAACAACGTGTAATATCACAGTCAAGTTCAATAAAGACAATAAATCAAACACAGAATGTTTTTGATAGCGCTCTTGTTAGGCGCTTTGACTCTGTTCTACATTTGGTTGAAGTGGAACTATTCCTACTGGAAACGAAACAATGTACCAGGACCAGAACCAACCTATTTTGTTGGCAATGTTGGCAGCACCCTGAATATGTCCGAAAATTTCGGTATTGTTGCTTCTAATTGGTACAAGTGAGTGATAAATCAATTAATTTCTTTCATTTGAAATGTATTTAAAACAACATTTTATATAATCGATCGAAAATGATGAATTTTTTCATATAGAACTTATTCGGAACCGTATGTTGGCTATTATAAAATGTTGAGACCAGCCATCGTCCTGAGAGATCCAGATCTCATTAGGGAGGTTTTGATAACGAATTTCAACAGTTTCCGTAATAATGACGTTAATATTAGCAAACGATTTGATCCGTTATCTGCCACGAATCCTTTTGCCAATCAGGATGATGAATGGAAAGAATCACGCAAAACCATTTCACCCATGTTTTCTCAAAGCAAAGTAATTCAAACAAAACAACTCAGCGATGCACGTTACCATAATTCTGGCCGTAACACAACACATTTCACCAGTTGCGGCTTCGGTCATAAATTCGTTGGTGCGAATACGGTTTACCAGTTACAACGTCTGTGCAAAGCGCCCGACTTCTTGCGAAGTGATGCGTTGTCTCAGTTTGTGCGCTATTCATAGACTTTGTAACTGGTAAACCGTACTCGCACTGTATTCGCACCAACGAATGTATGACTGAATATGCCTCAACTGGTGACTATGAACCTGCCTATTAACTGATGACTTGCATCGCTTAGATTTGCTATAAGAATCATGAAAGCAAATAAAATAAAAATTCTATTTTTATGTTAGCTTAAAGGGATATTACCAATGATGAACGAAGTGGGAGCTGATTTTGTCAAATTCATTAAATCACACCCATCTGACACCGATTTCAATGCAAAAGAAGTAAATGAAATGAACAAATTACGAAAAAAATACGTTTCAAATTTAATAAAAATTGTATCATAATTTATGCATCATTTTAGCTTTCGAATCGATTTACAACCGAGAATGTGATAAAATCCACATTTAGTATTGAACCGGGTTGCTTCAAAAAGGAAGAACAAAATGAATTCTTGAAAGCTGGTGAAGATTTATTCAAACCAACATTTTGGGTTGGTTAGAAATTTTTGGCCATTCCATTTTTACCGAAATGGGCTTTTGATCTAATACCAGTGTCGTAAGTTTTAATTTTTATTTCATTTAAATCCCAAAAACTTGATAAATTAAATATTGATATCTTTCAGTTTTGTACCTCCATCAATGGATCGGTGGTTTAGGAAGCTAGTTCAAACAAACAAAAACTCGCGCTCGAAAGATTATCAGAGCAACGACCTATTCCAAACATTGCTTCAAATTCAAGAAAAGCATAGTAAGCTATTTGGTTATCGTTTCAGTGAACATTTAAGACTCAATTAACTCTTTTGTTATTGCTTCAGAACTCGACGAAATATTTTTGGCAGGTCATTCGCTTTCTCTATTTTTCGATGGAACGGAAACATCAGCAACGGCTCTCTCATACGCTTTGTACGAACTGGGCCGAAATCCACAGTGCCAAGAGAAGCTTCACGAAGAAATTGTGAGAATAACAGCTAAATACGATGGCAAAATCACTTACGAAGTGCTTCAAGAGATGATTTATCTTGAAGGAGTAATACTTGAATCATCACGGATTCATCCCGCTGGATTGGTTTTAGGGAAAGTGTGCACACAACCATATACACTTCCAAAAACATCGAAACAAACGAAATCAGTCACCATCGCACCAGGAACAGTTGTAAATATTCCCATCCTTGGATTACATATGTAAGAATGACAAATCATAAATCCTATTCAAATGTAATGGTTGAATAATTAATCTTAATCAAACGAATCCTCGTTTTAAAGGGATCCAAAATACTATCCAAACCCAAAGGAGTTCATACCGGATCGCTTCAATGAGGAAGAGCAACGAAATCGACACAAAGGCACATTTCTGACGTTCGGAGAGGGGCCAAGAATTTGTCTGGGCATGCGATTTGCCATGCTCCAAACCAAAGTCGCATTAGCCTACATCACTTTGAATTTCCGTATCAAAGTATCACCAAGACACAAACCAATCGTACTTGATCCGAAATCACCTTTATCATATCCAATAGACGGCATTTTACTCCAAATAGAACCACGTTAACCAATTTTCTAACACAAAGCTGAGTGAAATAAAAAGTTAGCCGATCGATTGATTATTTAAACAAATTAGCAAATAAATGAAAATCGTATAAAAAAACGAAGTAGATTTGATGACGTAAATGGCTTGATTGATTAAGCTCGCGGTCTTAGTGAGTCAAAAACGACATTGACCCTCTCGACGTGGTTAGCTTGAAACTGTCATAGTACACGGGCACTTTCGATGCTTGGGTATGTGTGTGTAACTGTCACGTGTTTTTGTAAACACAAATTGTGTCTCATCCGTTATTCAATAAAATGTTATCACAGGTACGAGTCGCTAGGTGGCGCTGGTTGTGCACAATGTCTTAGCTGTTATATTGTGAATAAAATAAACACTAAACACATGACAAGACAAATTTTTTATTGATATAATTCATGACTTTAGATTGATTTTAAAGTGGTTGAATTATATCTGTTTCAACACACATATGAATGCTTCTAACTTGATTCGTATTTTGTGTTGAAACAGCTGCTCAATAATAATATAGACAATATATGTTCTGAACCAATCTACATCAAGACTGACTGAAAAGATTGTCTACAATCAGTTCACAAGCGTGTTTCAAACGAATAACAACGTGTAATATCACAGTCAAGTTCAATAAAGACAATAAATCAAACACAGAATGTTTTTGATTGCGCTGTTGTTAGGCGCTTTGACTCTGTTCTACATTTGGTTGAAGTGGAACTATTCCTACTGGAAACGAAACAATGTGCCTGGTCCAGAGCCAAGATTTTTTGTTGGAAATCTTGGAAGCGCATTAAACTTATCTGAACATCTTGGAGTCGTAACTGCGGATTGGTATAAGTAAGTTCAAAGTAAAGGGTGTCCCAATAGGGACGCAAAAAGTTTTTCAATAGGGATTTCATGATGGATGCCCCGATCTGACAAACTGGAATGTCAGTTTGAAGCGTCCATCTATACCATTTATAACCATGTCAAGATTAAGTGAAGATCAACGCGTTCAAGTCGTTAAATCCCATTACGAAAATGGGTCTATTTTACAAAATACGTTTCGTGCAATTCGTGAATTTTTCGGCCGAAATAATCGACCAAATGTGTCCACCATCAGTCGCCTGGTGCAGAAATTTGAGCGTACTGGCTCTGTTTTAGACGATCAACCATCAACCCGTATGCGAACGGCCCGCTCGCACGAAAATATTGCTGCTGTGAGTGAAAGTGTGGAGGACGAGCCAAGAACCTCGGTTCGTCGACGTTCTCAACAAGTTGGCCTCTCTAGGATGACCACATGGCGTATTCTCACCAAAGACTTGGGTCTACACGCTTATAAGATTGTCCTCACTCAAGAACTTGAACCGATGGACCACGGAAAACGAAGAGATTTCGTCGAATGGGTCAAAGGAAAAGAGGCCGCGGACGCCGATTTTTTGAAGAAAGTGATCTTTTCGGATGAGGCTCATTTTCACTTGAATGGGTATGTGAATCGTCAAAATTGTCGATTCTGGGGAAGCGAAAATCCAAGAGAAACTGAAGAAGTGTCAGCTCATCCAGCTCGTTGCACTGTTTGGTGCGGTTAATGGGCCGGCGGCATCATCGGGCCGTATTTCTTCGAAAATGATGATGGTCGAGCCGTTTCCATCAATGGCGAGCGATATCGTGAGATGTTGCAGTATTTTTTTTGGTCGGAAATTGAAGGCATGGACTTATCCGACATGTGGTTTCAACAAGACGGCGCCAGACCTTACACAACACCTGAAACATTAGCGGTAATCGAAGAACGTTTTCCAAATCGCATCATTTCTCAAAAGGCCGAAGTGGAATGGCCGCCTCGTTCGTGCGATTTAACGCCATTGGACTATTTTCTTTGGGGCTACGTCAAGGATAAAGTCTATGCCAACAAACCAAGCACCATTGCCGAGCTGAAAATTGAAATCAGACGTGTCATAGCCACCGTAAATGTGCCATTACTCGAATCTGTAATTGAAAATTTGGGCAAGCGGCTGAAGGTCTGTGAAAAGAGCCGTGGTGGACATTTGCACGATATTCTTTTTCATACATAAATGGTAAAGACCAAACTACAACATACAATAAAGATTTGGAAAATTGGAAACTATTTTCATTGTTTTTTTTATAATTACTTTTTTGCGTTGCTATTGGGACACCCTTTAGTAAGGACATTCATTAAAAAAAGAAGCAACATATAATAATTTCATTTTTTTCTCGTACAAAGTAATTTTCCGAATGAACCGTACATTGGGTACTTTAAAATGTTGCAACCGGCCATTTTATTACGCGACCCAGACCTCATCAAAGATGTTGAAATAACGAACTTCAACAGTTTCCGCAATAATGACGCTAGTATTAGCAAACGATTTGATCCATTATCAGCTACGAATCCCTTCTTCAACGAAGATGATGAATGGAGAGAAGGACGCAAAACGATTTCGCCAATGTTTTCTCAAAGCAAAGTAAAGACTAACAAAATTGCTGAAAATATTGACAACAAACATACACTCTTTCTTATTTTTAGCTGAAAGGTGTTTTGCCAGTGATGAACGAAGTGGGTGCAGATTTGGTCAAATTTATTAAATCACATCCAGTGGACACTGACTTCAATGCAAAAGATGTAAAAAAAATTTGTCTCATATTTGAATGCTTGAGCGCCAAAGAGTATGCAAAAAAGTACATGTGTTTTTTATCTCACTTCGAAATATTCCAAATTTAAGATGCTCTTTTGCGCTCATGCATTCATTTATTGAGTCAATTTCATCATTATATTATGTTTCAGGTTTCGACACGATTTACTACAGAGAATGTGATAAAATCAACATTCAGTATCGAACCGAAATGTTTCGAAAACGGGGAACAGAATGAATTCTTGACAGCTGGAAAACAAATATTCGAGCCATCCTTTTTGGCCGGTTTAAAATTTCTGGCCATTCCATTTTTGCCAAAATGGGCATTTGAACTGATTCCGGTGTCGTGAGTGTGATTTGCTCCATTGAATGAACCAATACAATGGTTTAAACTGAATTCACATGGGAATGAACGTTTTTTTTAGTTTCGTCCCGCCTGCAATGGATAAATGGTTCAGAAGTTTAGTTCGTACAAACAAAAATTCTCGCTCAACAGATTTTCAGAGCAACGACCTATTCCAAACATTGCTTCAAATTCAAGAAAAGCATAGTAAGCTATTTGGTTATCGTTTCAGTGAACATTTAAGACTCAATTGACTCTTTTGTTATTGCTTCAGAACTCGACGAAATATTTTTGGCAGGTCATACGCTTTCTCTATTTTTCGATGGAACGGAAACATCAGCAACGGCTCTCTCATACGCTTTGTACGAACTGGGCCGAAATCCACAGTGCCAAGAGAAGCTTTACGAAGAAATTGTGAGAATAACTGCCAAATACAATGGCAAAATCACTTATGAGGGGCTCCACGAGATGATTTATCTTGAAGGAGTGATACTTGAAGCGTCACGGATTCATCCGCCCGCTATGGTTTTAGGAAAAGTGTGCAATCAACATTATAAACTTCCAAAAACCTCGAAACAAACGAAATCAGTCACCATCGCACCAGGAACTGTTGTCAATATTTCCATCCTTGGATTGCATATGTAAGAATAACAAACTATAAATTCTGTTTAAATGAAATGGTTGAATAATTGTGATTTGAATCAAACGAATCCTCGTTTTATAGGGATCCAAAATACTATCCCGACCCAGAGAAGTTCATACCGGAACGCTTCAATGAGGAAGAGCAACGAAATCGACACAAAGGCACATTTTTGACGTTCGGAGAAGGTATTAATTTGTATATTGTTATTAAAAATGATTTCTAAAGAATATTTGGATATTTTTCTTAAATATTGTGTCAAATCATAAAACAGGTCCACGCATTTGCCTTGGAATGCGATTCGCTATGCTCCAACTCAAAATCGCTTTGGCCTACATCACTTTGAATTTCCATATCAAAGTATCACCAAGACACAAGCCAATCGTTATTGACCCACAAACGATTTTATCATATCCAAAAGACGGGATCTTGCTTCAATTTGATTCGCGTTAACAATTTGCACATTCATTTTGTATCATGTCTGAACCAAAAAAATTATAACTGACCAATGATATCAATTGTATAAATAGACGTTGATTAATGGAACTGACTTTGATTCATTTGGCGCCTTTTCGTTTTGAAGTGAAATGGAATAAATTGATATGATGTTTTTTAAATGCGATCTCATGCAATTTGAATCGTAATCAGAATGAATAAATACAAATAACCTTGAAAACTGTATCTGAAATAGAACTTTTTTTGCTCATTATCAGACAAATAGGACAAAAAGTTTGAATTAAGGTTCGGTGTAAACATTCACTGTGAATCGAACTGTGGTAAATCGCAGAATATATTTCATTTTATTCACAACAGCCAATTAGTGCAGTAAATCTGCACATAATTAGAACTTTGAAATAACTTGAAAAAGTTGTCTTACAAAAAACAACCTGAAAATATCAATTAAAATTAGCGCGACAGGGTAGTTTATGGAAAGTCGGAATGAGAAGTTACCGTTTTTTTCATCTTCTTCTGTTGGGTTGACAAAAACATTGTTAATTGAAACTTTTCCGCATTTTGCTGCAGTGTGATTTTCTTCACTCACCGAATATTAATGGGCTATATGAAAGTCGGCTAAAACGATTCATTGAAACTATCCAGACAAACAAGTTTGCCGACTGCTGAACGAGCCAGTCAGTTGCATTGGATGAACCACAAAGTGGGTCGTTTAAAATCGAGATTATTTGCGGTTTCAAATGCGTCTTGTATTGAGTTGAATGTTGTGCATGCCAGTCCAACGTAATTACAATTAATTACCCGATTCCATGTGAAACATCAATCACAACTTAAATGATGTTCAAGCAGACTTTCCAATTTACTTTGAGATTTATTAGTCTCACATTGATGTCCGGTGTGCTGTTTTCAATTGTGTTTTGCTGGCACAGTCACAAACTAGAATTTCTAATGATCGTTAACTGTGCACAATGGTGAAGGTCTTGAGTGTTTATTCATCAAATCCATGACATTGATTCATTTTGTTGCATTGATGTAGAAGTTGTGTGCATTCATGAGGCTGAGAGAATTAGTGAAAATTCCGAAAGCAAAGACGCATTGTCGGCAAAATAGCCAGACATCCTTGCAGACGCTTAAGTTACTTAAACATTGGACCTTTTTCTTTGCTCCAAATCAATCAATTTGTTGCGTGTTTTCTGCATGCAGTATTTAAAAAGAATTATATCGCATTTGCTGTTTATTTGATGTTAAAGGAAAATCACCGAAGCAAATTCCCATTCAATCGAGTGTCGCCGTCTTTTTTTTCTCCCTCTAAATGTTCTTTACATGCGAAAATTGTGTGAGATTTCGTTTACCATTTGGTGGTTACCACTCAACAATCAAATGATGCATGAGAATGAGAGAGAGAGAAAGAGATCGTATAATATTTTAAATGGAAAAGCGGTATTCATTTTCATCGTCTGCTTGGTTGCAGAACTACGAGCGCAAAAAAATGACGTGTCACACAGTGATGGCATCGACAACAAAGAGTATATTTCGGATAATTTATTTTTGCCAAATTGAATGAAAACCAGGCCCGTATCGTACTTTTTTGCCAGAAAATGGTGATTCCAGTTTACCAAGTGATAGCTTGCCCCAAAAAACACTTATTTTGAAAAAAAATCTAGGGTGCTTTTGGAAGTTTACGGAGTGGAGTTATGGGGCAAAAAGGCCAAAAATCACAAAAAATCAAAGTGGTCCGATTTCGATGAAAATTGGTACACTGGATAAGTGAGAAAATAGAAGAACTTTGGCACTAAAACTGGTCTAAAAAACTGGTCCGCACTGGTCCAAAATGTCAAAATAAATGTATACTCCGTAAACTTTCAAAAGCGCACCCAGATTTTTTTTCAAAATAAGGGTTTTTTTGGGGCAAGCTATCACTTGGTAAACTGAAATCACCATTTTCTGGCAAAAAAGCACGGTACGGGCCTGATGAAAACGCCCGAATCGAAGAACAAAAATGTTTGCGAGCGGTGTGATAAATAACAATATAAAAATGTCTGTATGGAGTAGATGCGCTCCAGACAATTTCCGTAGAAAAACATTTCGATTTCATTGAAGCTTCAGATTTCATGCAGAAACGATTGGAAAACTTATCTCATAAAAAATCATCATTCAATTTCGAGTTGTGGTCTTTTTGTTGTTGCTATAGCATTCGGCTTTTTTTTCCATCTGATGCGATGGCATTCAAAAAAATATGGTGACAGAGACGATGAAAAGAGCATGTGTACACTTAAAATGATTTGCATGGTTTATTCTTCTCTCGATTGAATATTTTCCATTTGATTTGTGAGTCATGTTGTTCAATCGAAGTCAGAGTTGCCGAATTATTCAATCAAACCCATGCTCAAGGCGAATTGAACGAAAAAAGGGATTTAGCGCAAACCGAAATGGAACTCTTGAGTGCAACACAAATGAGCCTTTCGGAAACTGATGATTATTATGATCCGATTCTTTCATCGATTCCAACACGTTTGAAAATTATTTAAGCACATTCCAACTGACAATCCTTTATTCGCCCAATCAAAACCACAACCGAGCGTATTGTCTGCGTGATTTTGCCCGAAGCGATTCACATCATTTGTTTCGATTGATTGCTCAGTTCATGCTTGCGATCGCATTCGATTTCGATCCACTTGAATCGGACTGGATTGTAATTTTGCAATGAAAATGGCCCACCGCCGCATCGTACACATTGTGACCTCGACTGATTCACATGCTAATTCTGCCGCCGTTTCCATTATTTACATCGTTGAAAACCAATCAAAAATGTAAAACATAATGTCTTGGTGGCGTCGATAGATCTTTGAAGGCGATAAATATTCGGAGTCTTTAACGATTTATTACCAGAACATTTGAGTTATTACACCTAAATGTGTTCAGGTGGCGTTCATAAAGTCAAAAACTTATTCCATACATAAATGGAATAAGCGATGTAGACAAAAGAAACCAAAAATAAAATGCTTGTCATGTCGATTTTCGTTGCGTTGGTAGCAACACACAATGAATCTATAGAGGATGGCACAGCTTTAGACGCAAACAAATCAAACAAACATTTGATGAAAAAGTACTGGTAAACAAGCCAACGAAATCGAAAATGCCAATGAAAAGGTGTGACAGTTCGCAAAACACCATTGTCGTCAACATGTGCAGTTGACGACATAAGCCGTGTACAATGATAGAAGCGACGAAAAAAAAAACCATCTTATTCAAACCAATATGATTGAATGGTTGAATTTGTTTTTTTTCTGTGGTATAAAAGTCGTCTGATCCTTTAGATAACCTTGACATTAGAATGTTGTCTCTGAGTTAACTGCAAACCTTTTTTCGAATCGGAGACATTACGCGTGACAAGGGAAACCAATCCGCTCAAACAGTTTCCACGTCTGGATAATTGAGGAACAGATTGAAAATAACAAAAAAACACGATTTAATACACGTGATGTGTGGACAATCGTAACCAATGTAACTTTACTTCACTATCAACTGAATTGTGATTCACATGTTGAAAATTTTGCTTCATTTATTTTTAGCAACAAAAATTGGGTCAACAAAAGAGTTTAACATTTTTTTCAGATACAAACAGTACAACTGTACCACCAAAAAAACAGTCAATAGCATGGACAATATAAAAAATGTTTCCTCACATTGTTGGATGTGAAAATGTGCATGTAATTCTTCTTGCTCGAGTGTGTATTGAACACGTTGTTCCGCCCGTGAATGGTCATACACTTTTAGTTACCACAAATGACTGTTTTGTTGTTTAAATTGTGAACGCCCGTACAATCCCTATTGTTTGACCAATGAATGGTCGTGTCGTACTCGGCATATTTTAACTGAAAGTGCTATTTTGTTCAACACATAAAGTTTTCTGTTATTATACGTTTAACCGCGGCCTCATAATTGTCTGAACTTTCTATGATTTTGAACCTGCATTTGAAGGTTATTGTATAGGTTTTCACTTGATGAACAAGTTATTATATTAGCTTAATTGATCGGTTTCCCGGAAAATGTCAAACAAAAGTACGAAACTAATTGGGGAATATGATTATATTAATCATATTGATATCATTATATTGTATGCTTGTTGAATATAATGAAAGACTGCCATTGACAGTTCAGCGGATATAATTTGAAAATTGTTTAAAGCACATGCTAAATGGTTAAAACTTTCCTTTTCAGGGTACAGCAATACGTATGTTAATAAAAGGTATTCACTGCTCTACTGATTATCTTTCAATTTGAATAAAGGAGTATTCAATGACTGAAAGTCAAGATTAAAGCGAATCACATCATTAATTGATATCAATTTGCGAACCCTCTTTAACATGTCAGATTCAATATTAATTCGATTTAGCTCATTTCTAATTGGGAAAAGCTTAAGCTTTTTTTTTCATTGTTTTTGATTACGAGTAGCTGAAATGAGATATCGAAAATTATCTTCAGCAATTTTGTAGACCACTACTAATACTACAACTTATCTGAAGACACTTTTCGGATATCTCATTTCAGTTACTCGATATTCATGTCTAGAAAAAGGCTGAAAATTGCTTTACGATTGATGACATACAACATATCAAGGGGAAAAAAACTTAAAAAACTCGTGTGTGTTCATACGGATTCGTTGTAATGACAACGCATAATCAGCAATACACAAAAATCTATCATTTTATAGCCGTAGAGCGCATGCACCTGTGTACTTGTGATACACATATGCATGCACTCTCCGACTACACATCCGTTGACGTTGCGCTAATTAGGACAATAGCCTAATTAGTCGCAACATCATGCGCATCCACTCAGTCACAACACAAACTTCGACAAGTCAACTGCATAAAGAGTATTGCACATCAACAGACATCAAGTAACCGTGTTTATTCTCATTAATGTATAATACTTCTTTTTCCTCGCTATCGTTTACAATCGTTTCTGAGGAGATTTCCAAAATTCCGCAGTTGTAAATTTCCAAAAGTGATCAGTAAAAATTAGCCACACATATTCACCACGAAATCGAAATGTCAAGTTGACAGTGTCACAAACAGTGTGCTCAGATGCTAGCTCAAACAGCTGTCAAATGAACTCTGAAATATCTGTCAAAACTATGTGTAGCTTTGATCATATCTATTTATATCTAAGTTTGTTTGAATTTTGAAAAACAAAATAAAATCTATTATTTTTATTAAATTTTCAAAAGCACCGTCAGACTCTAGATTGTACTTCGATATTTGCATTGCAAATCAACAAAAATCAAATGCTTATTTCAAACGATCGCCAATTTTTGATAGAAATCAAATAATATCGAAGTGAATTTCTCAAGCTCAAGTGATGTTTTTTGCCACGAGCTCCTAATTCTTACTGAAAATACGGTTTTATTTACGCGGTCTTATCAATTCCAATTATCTCGGCCTATCATTATCTTCATTGCTTGTTAATATTGAAGATAATATGTAAAAAAAAGCGTCAATGTTATCAAATACGTAGAATTGAACAGAACTACGTGTTAAGTTATTAAAATGATTACAACAACAATTATCATTGGCTGATTAGAAATCGATGTTGACAGATTATTGCATGCTTCAAAATAGCAAAGATGAGTCAATGAAATTTGATTTCTTATTTGCATAAGTAGTCAACAATACTCAACAAACACAATTATAATTTGCATAAACAACTGAAGCGATCCTGTGTATTAATCAGTGGTTTTCGAAACATAAATAAGTTGTGATAACATTTTGTTCAATAAAAAATTCCCACATTTTAATCAAACGATTAATACGAATTTTCAAGTACTATCGGTTGTTGTAGATAGCTCAGTAAATAGTTGGAAGTTGACGGTCGACTTCGATTTTAAAAATTGAAAGAATTTTGAGCACAGAAAAGAATCAGAAATTCATTTAATACATTGTCAACTGAGAAATTTGGCACAACAATTTACGAAATGGTGAACCAAGTATTCAAAAAAGAATTGAGATTGCACAATTGTGGTTTTAGTCATGATCCTGTGGATTCGTTGATGCGTTCACAATGGCAATCAACGTCCAAAAATGTATTTTATTTGATCTATCGATGGCTAGTTGCAATCTTTGTTGTGGCAGTGGTGGGCATTGCATTAGAAGCTCACCTCCGTAAATATACTATGGGCACATTCTTTGTATATTTAACGCGTTGGGGCATCACAACCAATATGATAGTCGGTGTTTACGGTGCAGTGTTAGTTACAATATGGCATTTCCACACAGACTACCAAGGTAATTTATTATCATTTCCGAAAAATGATTGATATCACCTGTTTTATTGGGATATTTTATCGTACAGAACGTATCCTGAAAAACAAGAGAATGCCAACTTCGTTCAAAATCTACTGGGCACTACATAATATTGCATTGGTAACGTCATTTGTAATAACAATAGTTTATTGGTCAGTACTACATGGTGAGTTAGTTTATCGTTGGTTCTGTTATCACTCTTCATGAAAATAAATATTTGCCGAATTCAAATCCAGCATTAATATGAGTCAAATTTTTTCTTCTTTTTCAGTCAATAAGAAACGCGTCGATCTACCCAATATTTTATCACACGCAATGAATTCAGTCATTATGTTCATTGATATCCTTATCGTGGCTTATCCGATGAGATTGTACCATGTTATTCAGCCACTTTGCTTTGGAGTTTGTTTTGGAGTCTTTTCGTATATATATCATTTGTGCGGTGGAGTCAACCAGTGAGTCCAACATATAGAATTTGTAACAGTATCAAAAACTGAAGATTCTTCATTTTTTCAGACACGGAGCACATTTTATTTATCCGGTATTGAATTGGGCCAAACCAGGAAAGGCATTAATTACTGTGACCAGTGTATTACTTTTAGTCATTATCATGCATATGATTCTCTTTTGCGTTTACAAACTGCGCGTATCCACTCAACGACGGCTATACAGAACGGCATCTCTACCAAAGGACGAATCACAAACATTTTCAAGTTCGAGTTTGGACAGTTATCTATGAATTCAGTGGGTTGTAGTAAGTTGCACTGAGTTTTTGTGAGTTTTATGTGCATTCGTTTGAGTTTAGTTTACTCACTCAGAAAGGAATTAGTACGATTCACATATACCAATGGTGATCTGTCAAATTACCATCATTACTATTGGCGAGAGTGGCGATTTTGTATGTATTGTATCTGCTCGAGCAGATCTGCTGTGCGATATTACTATGTAACAAAGTGGTATTGGTTGTAATATGACCATACTACTACCGATACATTTTTGTGACATAGTAATATCGCACAGCAGAGCAGATACAATACATACAAAATCGCCACTATCGCCAATAGTAATGATGGTAATTTGACAGATCACCATTGGTATATGTGAATCGTATTAATTCCGTTCTGAGTGAGTACTGACAACTGGTGGCGTGCAAAGTAGGAGGCAAATGAGGCAAATGCCTAGGGCGACAGTTTGAAAATTTGTAGGGAGAAAAATTCGTGAGCGTAGCGAGCTAAAAAAAATAGGGAGAAGAATTCGCTTGCGATGCGAGTGGAGAGAAGAATTCTACCCAAAAAATAACATCATCAGTCCATGAACAATTCAGAAATCAATAATATTTAACACACTTTTTCAGCGTAGTCGCCGAACGAATGATGAATTTGTTTTGTTGTATAAACTCTCTCTCTCTTTCTGTGTGTGTTTAGTTACTGTTTTCGCTGCCCAAAATGATTACGCTGACTTTTTTTCACGCGATTTAGATTTTTGTGATGTCAACAAAAATGCAATCAAGACAAAAATGCAATCGTCGATATTTCAATGGCCGTCATTTTGCGACGCTCGCTTGCGTTCGCTCTGTTATATGTGTGAAGCAATTCGAACGAGCGTCGTAAGACGGCTATTGAAATATCGTATACTGCGGCAACGCAAGCAGAAAATTATCGCGCTAAATTTATGCGATAACTGCCTTATGCGATGTCGTATTCATGCGTTTTGGACTCATTGAAAAATACCGAATCAATCGAAACAAATACAGCCGAATCAATTTATAGCGAGTAAGTACTTTTGCTTAAAAATTTAGGGGCGACATTTTGAAAATTTGCCTCAGGTGACAGAATTACTTTGCATGCCGCCGGGCACTGCCAACCACAAAAAATCAATCAACACAACCGATTTAAATCACAACATTCAATTATTAATTCTCGAATCTATTTATTTTTCTAAAATAAAATTACAATTAAAAATAAATAATATATTCGAAAATCGTGTCTCCCATTGAACAATTTGAAAGTGAACAGGTTTGTATACAAGAACTTGTTTCTTGGGTAGTCAACAGCATGCAATTATACGATTCATATACCAAAGCAATAAGAACAATCTGAGTAGCTGTATCAAATTTACAAAATTATTGCAACTATCGGGTGCCGACCACCTTCCTATCCATATTGATGAAGTGCTGGCGTCACAATGCTAAAAAATTTATCGATGGGAGATGATCAGCGAGATAGCTCTATAAATCTCTTAATATGGTGCATATCATTGACTGTGTGTTTGAAACTTTTGCTTGGGATTCAGTTCATTTGGATTAATCATTGTATACGTGTAACGTTTGAGTCTGCTCATATGAAACTTGAAATACTTATCACAGATGAATATGCATCTGATGAAAACAAAAGTTTGATTACAAATTCCATCATAGTCACGTATGACTTTTTTTTTATTCCCGGTTTTCTAACATCAAACCAGACTGATCAAATTTAGCGGTATTAGTATATAGATTTCTAAGTAGTGTTTGCATATATGTGTGCCTTTATAAAGTTGAATCATGTAATGTAGGCTGCAGTTGAGAGTTAGTTGTCGAGTAGTTAATTTAATATTTAGTTGAATACATTGGTCGAAATAGCACAGTCTTTAATATTGGTGCTGCCTCCTATAGACAAACAGATTGATACAGTAATTGAACGCAGCTGTTAAACGTAGCTCGATTACTGAACATCTGCCAATCAACGGTTGCAAAACGTAAACAATCTGTGAATGAATTCTGCACTCTTATTGACGAATCAGCTGGTTGCATTGATAAATGTGAATATTTTGGACGTGAATCGACATTTTGATAGAAAAGAAGGGATCATATCTTCAGCGTGCACCATTCAAAAATTATTGTGTTAAAAATGCCTTTTAAAACGTTGCAAAAGGTGATAGTAAATGAACTGAGATTGAGTAATTGTGGTTTTGATCACGACACCGTGGATTCGTTTGTTCGTTCCCAATGGCAGTCAAAGGCGAAAAATGCATACTATTTGATCTATCGATGGCTAGTTGCTGTCGTTTTGGTAGCAACGGTGATAATTTCATTGTATTCACACCTCCAGGAGAGCAGTTTTAGCTTATTCTTCATATATTTAACGCGTTGGGGCATCATACTCAATATGATTGTCGGTATATTGGGCGCGGTGTTAGTTACTAATTGGCACATTGGCTACCATGGTAATCAATTATTATTTTACCAAAAATCTTGGTATTACCTGATTTAATTTCGACATTTTAACGCACAGAAACAATTCTATACAACAAAAAAACGCCAACTTCCTTCAAAATCTACTGGGCTTTGCACAACATCGCATTAGTATCAGCTTTTGTCATAACAATAGTCTATTGGACGATACTACATGATTGTGAGTGTATATGATCATTTTACTTATTTGTGGGTATTTCCTTATCCACTTAACCAGTTCCTGTTCTTATTAAGTTGATATTGCTGTGTTATTAGTTGGAGTAATTTAATTGAAATTGGAATTGATATGTGTAAAAAAAAATTCGATTTTAGCCAAAAAGGGTCTAACTTTAGCAGGCGTCATGTCACACGCAATGAATTCGGTCATTATGTTCATTGATATTCTCATCGCGGCTTATCCGATGAGATTGTATCATGTTATTCAGCCGATTTGCTTTGGAACTTGTTTTGCCGTATTTTCATATATTTATCATTTGTGCGGTGGAGTCAACCAGTGAGTTCGAACTATTTATGAATTTATAAAATTGTCAAAAACTAAAGAATCTTCATTTTTCAGACAAGGAGAACATTTCATTTATCCGGTATTGAATTGGGCAACACCGAAAAAGGCCTTAACATATTTCGCAGCAATTAATGTACTCCTTATCATCGTCCACACGGTTCTTTTTTGCATTTACAAACTGCGCGTATTCATTCAACGAAAACTGTTCATCACGAAATTTGCAATACCGCAAACGATGGATTTAAATTGTAGCATAACTGTTGATTAAGTTTTGTTTATTTATTTATTTTGAAATCTATTTATGCGAGCGTGCCAATCAAGAAGATAATACCTGTGCCGGTATTCTGGAACACAATCCGCAAAAATCGTTCGGAATTATTTTTTTCATACATAATACCATATTGGAGTGAAAGAGAGAGATTCCACTATTTTTCAGCGTCCCACCGGAATTATTGCTCACACAATCCACTCTTTCTTGAGTTATCGAAATAATTCCGGTGGGACGCTGAAAAATAGTGGAATCTCTCTCTTTCACTCCAATATGGTCTTACGTACGAAAAAAATAATTCCGAACGATTTTGGTGGAATGACTTAGAATACCGGCACTGGGACAGAAATAAAAATATAAACAGTTGAAAATCTAAAATTGTGAAATAAATCCATCGATACTTCTGTTTCATCCGTCACTTGTATTTTAGGCGATGGCTTGGCTTGGCTTGGCTTGGATTCGATTACAGTGAAAATGTAGTCGGTGCATCTTAGGCTAGTTGTGATTAAAAAATAAATTGATTGAACATTTTTTAAGAAATACGCTACTAAAATTAACAAGTAATTTTCATTTATTGGTTTAAGACTCTTACCTAGTACTTGGCGAGGCATTCAATGCCTGGTGTGGTTGAACGAAAATGAAAGTGAGTGTAACCATTATTAAGCAATGAACGAGTTATCTTTGAGCAATAAATTAAATCCAATAAACCATTGAACGATCACAGTTTGAAGATCGCGCTTGATCAATATGAATGACGCGTGAGATAGTGAATGATAGTAAGATTGTGAATCATGAGATACTGAGATAATGGCTTAGATAATTTGCGAATATATCGGTATCACATTTACAATCTAAAACGTACCTACAGTATAGAAATTCTGGTGGATATCATTGAACCTTGATTTATGTTAATTGTGCGAGTCACCAATACTCAACAAACGCAATTGAACGTTGGACAGTAAAATAACCGAAATTAGCACGTGTAATTCGTGTATTGGTCAGGTGATGTCGAAAAATTGAAAAGTTGTGATAACATTTTATGTAATAAAAATGTCGACATTTCAACCGGATTTTCAAGTAGTGTATAAACTCAAGAACAAGGCTGACTCACTGCCGTTTGTTGTAGATAACGCAGTGGATAGTTGGCAGGTAGTAGTCGACTAGATTGTTTAACTTGATTAGATATTGTTTTAAAAATTTAAAGAGTCATGAGCACAAAAGTGTAGAATCAAGCATTCACCCAGTGCATCGTTAACTGAGAAATTTGACACATCAATTTACGAAATGGTGAGGCAAGTATTGAAAAAAGAATTGAGATTGCACAATTGTGGTTTTAGTCATGATCCTGTGGATTCGTTGGTGCGTTCGCAATGGCAATCAACGTCGAAAAATGTATTTTATTTGATCTATCGATGGCTAGTTGCAATCTTTGTTGTGGCAGTGGTGGGCATTGCATTAGAAGCTCACCCCCGTAAACATAGTGTAGGCATTTTCTTTATATATTTTACACGTTGGGGCATCACAATCAACATGATAGTCGGCGTTTACGGTGCAGTGTTAGTTACCATTTGGCATTTCCACACAGACTACCAAGGTAATTTATTATTATTTCGCAAAAATCTTGGTCAAATCATATGTTTTAATTTGGTATTTTATACAGAAAGTATTCTGAAAAACGAGAAAATGCCAACTTCGTTTAAAATCTACTGGGCACTACATAATATCGCATTGGTAACGTCATTTGTAATAACAATAGTTTATTGAACAGTTCTGCACGGTGAGTTATTGTTGCATTTTTTCCTGTATTCAGGAAAAAATATTTACTAACAAAGAGTGATATTTATTAAACTTTAATAATTAAAGTAAATATTTTCCAAATTTAACATTAATATGGATCGAATTCCTGTTTTCCAGCTTATATCAAACGCATAGATACAGCTAATATTTTATCACACGCAATGAATTCAGTCATAATGTTCATTGATATTCTTATCGTGGCTTATCCGATGAGATTGTACCATATTATTCAGCCGCTTTGCTTTGCAGCTTGTTATGGGGTGTTTTCGTATATTTATTATGTGTGTGGCGGAGTTAATGAGTGAGTTCAGAACATTGAATTTTAAACTGTGTGAAAAACTAAGGAGCATCCATTTTACAGATTCGGAAACCATTTTATTTATCCGGTATTGAACTGGGAAACGCCAGAAAAAGCACTAACTACTACCGTAGGAATTTTTATACTGCTTGTTATTGTGCACATGGCTCTCTTTTGCGTTTACAAACTGCGCGTATTCACTCAACGGTGGCTATTCACAACTGAGTTTGTATTGCCGACTACAAAAAACCAAGCAACAGAAAGAACGGAAAGAATAAATCAGTGAAAACCGAACCAAACTAGAATTGTCAATAATTAAATCTAGCATCTATTTATAATTTTATAATGAAATGATGGAGTGAAAAAAATTCGGAGTACGTATGTGGGACAATCGCGTCGTACACTGAACTTGTATTTTTAATGAGATTTTATTTATATTCATTTCATTACTTGTATCATTATGAGCGCCCGTGGAAGCAATTGATTGACACTAGGAAGCTAAATCTTTTTCAATAATTTTAATAAAAGAAAACCTTCCAATGCATTTATCAGTTCATACGCGGGATAAGATAATTCGCAACCGTTTTTCTGAGCTTCAATAGAATTTTTTTGGGGTATTACTACTATCGATAAGTAGAACAACGAAGTGATTTATAGCCAAATATTTACTACGAGGGAAATGGAGTAAGATTAAATTCAGCAAAGTCTGTCGATAAAAACGCGAAGAATGCAAATTCGTGGAATAAATTTGTGATTTACGATCATTTTTTGCGTATTTTTTATACATGTTTATACGGATAATTAATTGATTATTTCGCATTGCATAAACACTGGAAAATCTTCAGCCTAGCAAAAAGTGTCTTCAATGTTCAAGGCATCACATCTTTCTAGCTTTGATCTCCTAGTACTAGTACTACGCTTTGGCAAATTTCGTGTTCGAGTGCCTCCTTTCTGCATACAAACAAAGTAGATAGCACCAAGATAAATTCCAACGGTGAATATTAGAGCACCAATTACGCTGGCGATCTTTGAAGATGTCAATTTGGATCTGGATTCGGTTTCGTTTTTGCTCTTTTCATTATATAAATAACATGTTTTTGTTCCGTTTAGGCAATTTGTTTGCATGTTGTTGTCAAAACAAATGCGTTTTTCTAAAATATCTAAAAAAAAAAAATAGTTGGCATCAATTATCTGCACTGGAAATGGATTTTGTTCGTTCAAAAGACGCACCCGATTTTATCGTATAGCAAGTAAATTCTAACTTTAACTCATTTCCAAGGTCGCATGTCAGAAGTTGCGGATCACTAGCATTTTTCTCACAATTTTTATTGTCCGTTGAGTTGAAAGCGATCCATGATATTTGATTAGGCGTTGCAGCGTTGACTGTAATTTCTTAATTGAATAATATGTATAATTAGTTTTGGACAAGATTCCATGATTTTTTCAAATTTACCAGCTCTCACGGATGTTAACGCATACAGCAGAACGCTGAAGGTAAACCAAACCAAATATTTGTCCGACATTGTCCGTGCTTATGCCAAAAATTTCTTCACTTTCGACTTATACTTTGTGTTAAGCATTCAATTTATTTTGAAAGAATAATTTTCAAAAGCAGTGCCAACCAACAATGGCAAAGAATAACTGAGTCAAGTCAAGTAAATGCGTAATACTCACCATGCTTCTTTAATTCACACCAAGTGCTATACAAATTTTGAATATGATAAATATAAATGCTTATATGTTGTTATCTCGCATTCTAAATCACCATAATTTCACAAGAAAAATAATTGTGTGTGTGTGTGTGTGTGTGATGATTATTAGTCATAAACTTAGCAGCAGCTAGCCTTAAAACATAAGTATCGGTTTATCTTCGGTCATATCAAACTGATATTTTCAACACTCATACAGTGGTTTCTTTCCACAGATATTTTTATTCTCGAAATCCACCAGGGGGATTTGTTCACCAGCATGCAGCAATGAAATAAATCTGTATTTTCGATTTGAATGAAATCTGAGAATTGATCACCCGTCTCAAATGGTAGTTGATTTAAATTCCAAATTGACAAATAAACAAATTTCATTTCAATTTTCATTAAAATAGTGTATGAACCACAATAACTGTCGTGTTAGTTAAGATTTTTACATAAATTCAGTATATTCAAGATGATTATAACAATTTACAAATTAAATTTTGTCGTTCATGAACCGTGTTTATAGTTTAGAATCACTGCAAGGTGCAAGCAGAGAGCCAAAAGGTGTCCAAGAAACCAGTTCATCTCTTTGAAACCACAAATTAATCTCATTTTCAGCCGATTCCATTGTATGTGAGCCATGAACGACGGAACGTGCCATATCGGTGCTGAGATCACCGCGTATGGTGCCGGGTGGTGCTAAGTCAGGTCTACCTATCATGTTGCGGGTGACCTTAATCGCATTCAAACCTTCCCACACCATTGGAACAATCGGACCGGAGATCATGAATTTTACCAAATAATGATAAAATGGACGATGCGCATGCTGAATATAGTGCTGTTGAACCAATTGTTCTGAGGCCTGAAAAATCCAAATTTAAAATTTAAATTTTGAAAGAAAATCACTTAATTTCAATGAAAAACATATACCCGAACAAATTTCAATCCAACCAATTTCAATCCCTTTGATTCAAAGCGTTCGATGACTCTACCAATCAGACCTCGCTGCACGGCATCGGGTTTAAGCAGGATCAATGTCTGTTCTATTTTGTCATCTCCGAAATATGCTATACATTGGATAAGAGAAAAAAAAGAATCAACTACGTAGTGCCACTTTCACAGTTGAAGATATATTTCAAAACCGATTTTTGACTTCGAAGAAACTAATAAACTTCTGCCGATATAAACTATTTTATCGGAGATGGTTCACTAGCATTTTTTTCTCAAACAAATTGAATATTCGACACATTTCTTAATAAATCTCACAAAATGCTCTTACCTTCATCTTGGTTTTCACTCATTTTTATGGATGCAGAATCGACTTGGCTCATTTGTGGAATTGACATATTTTGGGTATATTCTGAAGCATTTGAACCAAAATCTTCAGTTTTAAGTTAATTTGCAAACGTTCACACTTGCCATCATTGCCACATTTAAAGACATTTATCTTTAGAAATAATTCTTGAAACTTACCGGTCGCTGAACATACCACAAATAATACCGTATACACAACAAAAACAGCAACTTTATGATTTTGAATTGACATTATTGCAATTTTTTTCGAAACCGTCTTGTAAATACAACTCGACTTCAGGAAAACTTCAAACTGAATGAAAAATTTTGAACCTCGTTTAAATAGCCACTTTTTGAGACCACCTAAAATGAAGGAATGCCCCTCCAGAATACTTATTTCTCATGCATAGCATTGTAGATATAGATTGGATGTAATTCACAGAAGATAAAAATACACAATTTACATACCTCCCGAATGGACTAAAAGATCATTCGCACAACGATTACCATCTTTTGTTATTTATTAAAGTATCATTTGTTGTGTTTCAACTTCCAAGACGAAGCTGTCCACCTGGCATTATCTTTTTATTCAATCTATACAGTTAAATTAAAATAATTTAATACAAGAATACTCGAAGAACATTTCATTTCTTGTGCAGACCTTGTGCAGACGTCTGCACACTCTGCATAAGGCTTGCAAGTGGTTCGCAATAAATTTTAATAAAAACTCTTCCGCAAAGCCTTTGCAGAACATTTGCTTATGTATTACGCTGAATTACGCCTGCACTAAGTCTGCATAAGTCACATTTTACTATGGAAAAGCCCCACCCATGTGGTCCATACAAGTCAAAAA